GGTTGCTGACTTGGTCTTCCAGTTACACACTCACAAGTTAGATGCTTTCTTCCCTCACTGCCTCAGCCAGTGTTCTATGACCAAAAATAAAATGAAATAATGAAACCATACAAAAGCAAAAGGCACAAGCAGCGGCACCAGCCTCTCTTGGAGTCCTGAGACTGGCTTCACTCCGGATGTCAGGTGGAACAAGTTGTGCGGTTGCTGCTGTTGCACTAGCATGCACATGTCTGGGGAAGAGAGTGCATTTGCAGCTCCGTACTCCATTCTCCATGATCAAATGTGAATGAGCAGAGGACTGGGAAGAGGAGGGCGTGAGGCGGGGAAGAGGGGAGAAGGAGGCAGGTAGAGGGCAAGGGGCCAGAGGGAGAAGAGCCAGGAAAAGGCTAGAAGGAAAGCAGAGAGACAGGGGAAGGTAGTAGGGGAAGAGGCAGGGGAGGTGAGAAGGCAGAAGGAGAGGTGAAGAGTCAGTCAGTTGCGGGGGAGTAAGCTTAGGATAAGACAAATTATCCCCAAATGGGCATCAGTATGTATCAGTCCAACTTACCAACTTCAAATGCCAGTCAGCCAGTTAGGAGTTATCTGGAATAGCCAACTTCTCCTTTTAAGTCAACTCAACACTACAAACTTACAAGAAAAAAAGTGCTGCTGAGTCGGAGGAACAAAACTCCCTGGGGGTGGGTGGAGGACCTCTCAGCCACCTTTACCCCTGGGTGCACCTGAGGTAAAATACAAGTGACCTTGGCTCAGCCCAGAGCATTCACCATCCCAGGAAGGGCAAAGGCAAAAAAAACTAACTCCTGTCCCATCTGACCACAGGGCTGGTCAGTCTCTGGGGAAATAAGTGAAGCTAAGTCCTTTCCCACATAGAGGTGCTAGGCACCAACCCATCTCCTCACTAGCAGCTGAGGCCTTGTCTTCAGTGAAGAATCTCCCTGTCACTCCATTAGCACCCCAGTGGGGAAAGGTGCAAACCTGCCACCAAGCTAAAACCCTAACCCTAACACTCAGATATTCAGCTGTTACAGTGATATTCACTAAAAAAAGTTTTCCCACATTGACTTAGGAACTTATTTCAAAATACAATAATGTATATGACTATGAATTCAAGATTGTGTTTTACTGATCTTATGTTCACATCAATAATAAATTTCTTATTAGTATACTTGTTCGGTTCTTTTGAGACAGGGTTACACTACATCTTCTAGACTGACCTGGAATTCACATCTTCCAGCCTGTGCCACTTGAGTGCTTGGAACTGATTATTAGTGTAACTAATACAGTTCTATAGTAATGAAATTATTTAGTATAAGCATTTCCACTTATTTTTAGAAACATGCTCTGGTTATTCTCAGACTTTTGCACTTTCATATAAATTTTAGATTAGTCTGTTCATTTAAACGCAAATGCCTCTGAATCTGTTAACAATACTGAGTCTTCCATTCTGATCTTGGCATCTTTATGCTCTATAATGTGCTTTATAATTTCTTTTTTTTTTTTTTTTTTTGGTTTTTCGAGACAGGGTTTCTCTGTGGCTTTGGAGGCTGTCCTGGAACTTGCTCTGTAGACCAGGCTGGCCTCGAACTCACAGAGATCCGCCTGACTTTGCCTCCCGAGTGCTGGGATTAAAGGCGTGTGCCACCAACGCCCGGCTGCTTTATAATTTCTTTAAATTTAATCTGTCTTATTTAAGGGAGGGAAGGAGCCACAACAGTCTATGTGGAATTGTGGGAATTGGTCCTTTCCTTCCATGAGGTGTGTCCAGGGACTGAATTCATCAAGCAAACTCCTTTACCCTCTAAGCTACCTCACTGGCCCTTTGCTCTATAATTTCATTCGACATTGCTTTAGACCATACACATTTCATTAAGAAAAAACTGAACACATTTACATCATAAATGGAAGCATAGTTCTGATTTCATTTTCTAAATGTTCACTGCTAATATAGTGATCTTCTATATAATTTTCTTTGAGTCTGTGGCTCTGATAAACTACCTTAAGATTCTGGGAGTTTATGAACAGAGAGGAACTTTGGAAGAGAACATTTTATTACCAAATGCAGTTTTCTTTTCTTTTTTTTTTTTTTTTTTTTTTTTTGGTTTTTACGAGACAGGGTTTCTCTGTATTGTTTTGGAGGCTGTCGGTCCAGCCTGGCCTTGAACTCACAGAGATCCGCCTGCCTCTACCTCCCGAGTGCTGGGATTAAAGGCGTGTGCCACCACCGCCCGGCGAGTTTTCTTGATTATAAAATTTAACATAAGTCTTTGAGAATTTGGCAAGAATGAGATTGTTTTGTTTTGTTTTGTTTTGAGACAGGGTTTCTGTGTAGCTTTGGAGCCTTTCCTGGAACTCACTCTGTAGACCAGGCTGCCCTCAAACTCACAGATTTCCACCTGCCTCTGCCTCCTGAGTGCTGGGAATAGAGGCTTTCACCACAACCACCAAGCTTTTTTGTTGAAATAGGATCTCACTGTGTAGTCCCAGCTGTCCTGGAACTCACTGTGAAGACCATGCTAGCCTCAATTTCAAGGAAATCCACCTGCCTCAACTTCCTGAGTGCTGATATTAAAAGGTCTGCACCATCACCTCTGATAAGAAACAAAACAATTTTAAGGTATTGTGTTGCCTGGTAGGGTGAAAAGTGCCTGCATTTATATGCCAGAACTGTAATTATAGGTGATTATGAATACCATGTAGGTATTGGGAATGGAACCTGAGTCTTCTATAAGAGCCACAAGTAATCTTAATCTTTAAGCCATCTCTCCAGGCCAACCATAGTTTTAAAAAGAAACAAACAAGATTTAGGTTAGTTGCTATTAATCTTTCACATATTTCCTTAAGTTTGGGGCAGTGGACATATATTTATGGGGCATTTACTTGTAAATATATTACTTTATGCCATACCAACACTGGTCATGCTTTTTTTCCCCTTTATACATGGCAGTATCAACATTTCCATTATTAGACTTGCTTTTTTATTTTGAGGAAACTGGGTCATTGTAAAGGGGAACCTTTTCCTTGATAGAAGCCTTCCCGCCAGCCTGGTTCTAGAGCCACATCAGTCCCAAATAAACACACAGGAGGCTATATTAATTATGAAGCTGTTGGCCTTGCTTGTTTCTTACTGGCTAGCTCTGACTTAAGTAATTACCCCATAATTGTTAATCTAAGTATTACTCTTACCGGAGAATAGTTCCAGGCTTCCTACCCCATGGCGTTACATCTTGACTCTCAGTGTTTCTCCTTCCCAGAGTCCTTCTGGACTTCTAGTCCCACTTATCTTAGTTAGCTATTGACCAACAGTGCTTTATTGACAAATACACAGGACTTCCCCAACAGGTCGTGTTTTAAAAGGAATAGCTCAAGTACTGTGTAAAGCAAGGTCTAGAAGCATTTATATTTAAATCAAGATTGTTATAAACAGCTAGGGAGGAAGAATCAGATGTTAAAAGTGAATCCATGTTTACAGCAGGTGACATTGAAATCCTAATTCAAGGCAGAAAAACAGCGGTTCAGGCAAAGGTAACCACTCCTTGATGTTTAAGACACTTCTCAAGCCTTGGAACAGTTAGGAGATTACATTTCAATAGAAACAAAACAACTGGACAAAAGATAAGAGGTGCAGTTGATACAGATGCAAAGCTATTAGCTATACCAACCAGGACAGTATTCAGGAGCCTAAAGTAAGAAAGGCACTTCAAGTTTCAGGCCAGCCTCTACTACAATGTCAGATCCCATTCCAAACAACAACAACCTCACAAATGTGCCAGGTGAGATGGTGATACTAGCAACGGTCTTTGCTGCTTAAGCCTTCCAGCTTGAGTTTGATCCCTGGAACCCATGTTAAAACCAACTCCAAAATGTTATCCTTTAACCTCTACATGGACACCATGGTGTATGTGTGTGGATACACACACATGTATACACACCCAATAATATTATAAATTAAAATTATTATGTAAGAATAAATAAAAAGAAGTATTGGTTAAATTAAAACATGAAGGCTAGAAGACAGGGGGAAAGTACATGTTTGTTTTAAATGCTGAAATAAAGGAACTGTCAACCAGAGTTTCCTTATTCAGTGAATGTCTTCCAAAACTGATGAAAAATAAAAATATTTCAAAATAAGCAAAAGTAACAGAATTTAACTGGGCATGGTGATACACACCTTTTATTCCAGAAATTGGAATGTAGAAACAGGTAGGATCTCTGTGAGTTCAAGGCTAGCCTGGACTACATAGTAAGTTCCAGAAAAGCTAGAAATACACCATATGTATGACACTGTCTTAAAAGTAAACAAATAAATAAAAGATTTTCCTGCTATATCTGCTATAGAAACTATGCTACAAGAAGTTCTTCTGGAAAAGCGGAGGTGAGGTGACTCCAGAGAGAAACCTAAAATTTCAGGACCAAAAGCATGAATAATAAAAACAACAGTTATCATGTAAATGTGATACATTAACACCAGATTCGAGCCCCATTTCATCCTGTCATGGTTGGGAGGAGAAACAGGCCCAAATCAGATCCTGAGCAGCTAGCCGGAGTATGACAGAAAAGACCTTCTGTGAGTCAGCTTCAGTGTGACCGCTCATTTATTGAAGCAAAGGCACTAGTTTACACAGCTGAGGTAGGGTGAGGAGAGAAAAGTGATCAAGGGAGGAATTATACCTACTTTGCATAAACTGACATGATTGAAGACAGGTGACCATTAATGATGCATCAATTCAAATAATAAGGTGCGCCAGAAGAGTGAAACATGTATTGAACCACACATGTTTGCAGGGAGCTCTGTGCAGGGTCAGCCTCCAAATAAGTTTAGGCATCTTATTTGGAGGCTGTCTCCCACTTCCTGTCCTGACTTCCCTTCATGATGGACTATAAGATATAAACTGAAATTAAACCCTCTCCTTCCGAAGTTTATTTTGGCCATTATCTTTACCACAGCAAAAGGAAACTAAAGGCTTATTGTAGACATTGAAATAAAGATGATAACACTTCTATTAATTTGGTAAAGATATTTTAATTTTTCTCAGAATATGTTAAAGAACTTCAAAGCCAAGGAAACATCTTTAAAGTGGAATGACTATTTTTAACACTTTATATCGGTTTTCAGTTATACATTAATAATTCATATTTTATTAGTGTATACCAATTGGACAAACTAAATGGTTTTTATTGAGACATTTTCATACATGTATACAATGTGCTTTGTTTAGGTCCCACATTACCCTGCCTTCCCTTCTCACCCTTACCCTTGGTTCTTCTTACCCTGCAATGCCCCTTCTAATTTCATCTCTCTTTTTTTCTATTGACTAGTCTTAATTAGTACATTTTACAATCAGATTGGATTCAGGTCATTAGGAATTCTATAACTGGTTATTTGTTACTGTGTATTCAAACAAACTTTCAAAAAAAGGTTAAGAATACTGGAATAAAAATTAGGCCATGAGCTGCCCCAAAAAACATAACAAGAAACATAATCTTAAAAAATGTCCTGAAGATGTAAGCTTTAGCTGCAGATAAAACACATACCCCTATTATTGTTGAAATTGCACTTTGCAACACTGGATAACCTAGCATATACAAGGCCTCAATTGACTTTTTGTTTACTGAAGTCTCAGAACTGGAGATAAATGCATAGGAGATGTGTGCAGAAAAATCAAAAGAAAAACCTATACAAATAACAAGATTAATCATGGATATGGAATCGAGATTAACATTCCAGAATGCCATGAAACCTGTAACTCCCACAATCACAGAAGCAATAGCAAAAGTAACCCACAAGGAGCACACTGGGTGAGGAATTAACAATAAGGAAACAATGAGCATAGCTGTTGATGCAATCATGACATTTCGAACAGTGTTCTCTATTATTGCAGCATATTGATCAAAATATATGAATGCTTGGTTATACACCATTAAGGGAACTTCACAGTTTTCAGCTATGCCTCGTATCTGTAATAACATTCTCTTCTTATTGCTCGAGGAAGAAACTCCTATAGTCTGGATGAAACCTCGGGAAGAAGTGATCTCATTTGATGAGGAAACATTAATATCATATGTAAAAATAGGAGAAATTTCTAAAAAACCTGAAATACTATTCATAAATGTATTCTTGTCATTAGGATCATTTCCACTGTTATTCAAATATTGAATATATGCTCCCAACCAAAACTCTGTGAGATTTTTATCTACATATTCACTTTCTTCAAATTGTATCATACATTTGTCCAGTTTCTGTCTTACATCACCATCCCAGTAGTTAACACTTTGCGTAACAATGACCATAACCCTTGGACCATAATCTGAGAAATAATCTTCCTCAACGTTAAAATATGGTGTAATGTAGGAATCATCACTTGCCAGATTCCGAAGATCTAACCCTTCCTGCACTTGGAAGCATCCGTATATACTGCTTACGATATAAAAAATATATAACAGCACTACGAAAAACTTGGCTTTGGCTGTTGTGAGGAGAGGACCAAAATAGTCTCTAAAGAACAAATTCATTGGATGCTTGTCTTCTCCATGCTCATCTGGGGCTGAACCAAATGGCACACAGCAGGATTTTTTTAACGAGGCATACTTTTGGTCTGGCTTATCCAGCCAGCGGAAGCACGCAATTTCTCTTTTACCATCTAGAGCCATAATTGCTCCAAAACAGGTGATACTATAAAAATAGCAAAAGAGCAGGGTTGTTCCTGTATAGATGCAAAAATACTGTACAGATCTAAAAGAGCTGGTGATTCCTGTATAGAAAGCAAGGACATTGGTGATAGTGGTGATTGTAATGGACACTGCCACCTTTGAATATGAATTGGAGAGTCGTTCTTTTATGCTTTCCATGAGGCTGGTCTTCTGCCAGGCAGAAATCATAATAAACATGTCATCAACTCCAACACCTGTAACAAAAGAACAGATATTCCTACATATTAATAATACACATTAAATATTAAACTGAGCATTTTCTATTGCTTGTCTTGCAAATCTCTCCTTAAACAATTATCTTCTTAGTTGGTCTTTGAATTTGTCACTCCTTCCTCTGTAATAAGTTTTAGCTTTGTACATACCTATGTTGTTAGTGCATAGCATATTCTCTAGTGTTTTCCCAGGTGTCTTTGTGATAAAATAGGACATCTATGTGACCGTATGCCAGTTGAAACAGAATCAGCAATCTATCTTTGATTCCATGAGCCATTTCAACTAATATACAAACACATTCATCAAACATTCTATTTTCTTGAAATAGGAGTTGGCAAGTGTGTTTGCAGGTAGCATAAGGCATTCCAAGTTGCCATTTTTATTGTAGCACCCATTTTATAGATTTACTTCCAGGCATATGTACAAATCTAGTGTCCCTAGTAGTTTCTATTTGACACCTAGCATGCGGTGGACAGAATGTTTCACTGGTCCTGATAGGAGAAAGGCATACAAAAGTGTATCTTTGGAATCCTTTCCATTGTGCCACTGCATGGCTGGCTTGAAACAGAATTGAAGAATGTTTGAGAGCTTTGACATGAACAATGGAAAAAAAGAATGAGGGCAGAAAAGTAAGGAGACTAGATAGTCTGAGTCTGCTGCCAGTGAATTCCATTTCCCTCCAATACTAGACTGCAGTTGAGACTGCTTGCACTCATGTGTGCTTTTATTTCCAAGTGTTTTAACAGCAGGTCTTGGGAATGCAATGCTGATCTTTACTTCTTTTTCATAGGTTACAAGTTAAGGTTAGGAGAATACTAGGAATTACAAGCCGGCCTGTAGTTCAGATATTCATGGACATGATTGAGGTAGAAAGATCCAAAACTTGCACAAAGCTAGAGGGGCTGCTGTAGACTGTATGGCAGCACCCCATGACTATCAGCTCAAGACTCTAGGAAACAATCAGAGGCACTGAGAACAAAGAATGGGATGCAATGACTTTTCTAAAAAAAATGATTTTATTACTTATAGAAATTTGTTCAGAAATTCTCTTTATAGTTCTTAAGTTACTGGAATCGCCTATACGTACAGTCTATACAAATTTATACTTCTGTGGATACAGACTGAATAAATACAGAGAATGTAGACTGGCATACAATAAATACATCCCCCTAAGTTATTCATGACTATGGGCACAGTGGGCGAGTGTACAAAGCGCAAGGCTAAACTGATGTGCAATATGACCCCACCTAGTACCTACCGGGAGGGGGACCCTGAAATTGCATAGTTTGACATACAAACTTACTGCGAAATAAATTCTAAAAACAGAAATACCAAAAAAAGCTATAATCACCCTTCAAAGGATAAACCTGAAAACACATTTTAAAAATTCATCTAGAATTTGTTCTATGCAACTATATCCATGTAATTATCCATGGCATGTATCTTGATTTATAATGAGAAATTTTCATTTAATTCATTATAATTGTCTTTTTTAAAAGGCCAAATATGGTTTCTATTTTTTAAAAATATGTTTGACTTGAAAAATGTCATATTGATATGGGTTCAGGTTGTTTTCAATATTTTCTTATTATAAAACACACCAGAATAAACACATTTGTTCTACTTATGATCAATTACATTTATCAAATAAATTTTACAGAAATGAAATGTTTGGTCTATAGTTCTTTGCTATAAACATGGGGAATGCAAACCAATTTATATGTTTCCTACAGCAGAATCTTGGGCACTCGTTTACATAAAACTTTCTAAAATTGTCTAGAATTAATCTAGAAAAAAACTTTTTTTAGTTTAGTGTACAATTCCTTGATACAAAATATTTCTTGTTGTATTTTCTGTGTGAACTAAAGTACATGTTTCTTTCATTTATTTGTCTGGGATACTACATATTTCCAAGTCTGAAGATAGATAATTCAATTTGTTCTTCCTGTTGCTTAAGCCTCCTATACAAATGCATCCCCTTATCCACCTCACATACCTACAGACTCAATACAACTACTTATTTTGTTTTACTCACCAAGAATAAGAAATGGTGAATTTGCAACTATGATCACAAATGGGACCCCGATGTGCAGCATCAGGCCAAACCCACTCACCACTGACATGGCAACATTAAACACTCCAAAAACTGCTACCATCATTTTGTTTCTTATACAGTCCAACCTGTAAATTTAGAGGGAAAAATAAGAACTTGTGATAGTAGCTTCCATACTGAAATCCTACTAACTGGTTGTTGACTTAAGACACCAAGGTTTCTAGAAGTCTCTGGGATGATAATTTCCATATCTGTCTGATGGAGACCTTAAACTAACAGGTACTATTTATTCTTTTTTTTTTTAGTTTTTTGAATCATGGTTTCTCTGTGTAACCCTAACTGTCCTGGAACTCACTTTGTAGACCAGGCTGGCCTAAACTCAAAAAGATTCACTTGCCTCTGGCTTCCTGAGTGCTGGGATTAAAGATGTGCACTACCACTACCTAGTCAGGTACCTTTACATTAGCAACTCATAAAAAATAGAGGAGACAATAAAGTTGGGAACTTATCTGGGTGATTATGTAACTATCTGACTAGCATTTCAGAATAAAAATTTGCTAAGCACTGCAAAAGGTTAACTCTGCTCTTACTTTTAGGGGGGTATGAATGAAATACAGTAGGTAGTAGATGGTGGCTTGGTTTATCTTATGTTGCTATGGCAAAATACTGGAGGCCTGATACTTTATAAAAGAAAAACATTGATTTAGTTCACTATTCTGAAGGTCCAAGAGGATGATGCAGCATTTTTTGCAAAGGCTCCTCTCATTGTTGTAACAGTGCATGCCATTATGGTGGAAATGCATGACAGAGGGCGGGGGGTGGGGTGGGGATAGAGGGAAACAAAAGTAAAGATGGGAAAATAGATTTAGGAGCAAGGCTTGCTGTTTTCATGATAACTTTCTGTTACAGGAACTAATGAGAGCCATGCCAATGCTTTCTGAGACTTTCACAGACTAATTTTTAAAGCTATCACTACCTCCCAACATCACAAGTATGTCATAAAATAATGTCAAATGATGTTTCAATTGACAATGTTGTTTGGAGGCAGTGGAAAATGCATACTTAATAGTGGTTCCAGAAGATTAAAACAGGGCTGAAAACTTCCCCATGTCATCTTCTTAGTGTACAGCTAGATATACAGGAAAATAGAAAATGCCACAGAATAATCTTCAAGTCATAGTGAAGGACTTAGCTTTTCAAACCTCAACAAACCCCTTAAAGAGTTAAGAAAAAAAGGTGCTGTAGAAATGGTTCAACAGTTAAGAGCACTGGATGTTATTCCAGGAAACCAGCATTTGGATTCCAGCACCCACATAGTGACTCACAACCATCTGTAACTCTAGTGACAGGGGATCTGCCAATATCTTCTGTCCTCCATGGGTACAAAGTATGTACACAGCACACAGACATACATGCAGGCAAACACCCATGTATATGACATAAAACAATAATATTTAAAAGAAAATTTTAGATTAGAAAACCTAAAACTAAAAAGTTTTCATCAGCAGAGTAAGGTTTGTGGCATACAATATACTGGTAAGCAACTCAGCTGGTAGAAAAAGAAACAAAACAAGCAAACATGCATGGGCCCATCTCAAGCTAGCAGCTGAACTTCCATAGAAAGATGCAAAATTGAGAAAGTAATTGATTCTTCCTCCATGCTGTCAAAGAGCCATTGAGGCTAAGCAATGCCAACATCAGAGGCCCTGAAAGGTCACTGTGTGAAGCTGTAAAAGTGAAGCCTAGATTGTGACTGAGATCTCAAGACAGTGGAGATGTCAAAACTATGAGACATGTATCAAGGAGAGCTGAATACAAGGAATGGAACCAGCCCAAGAGAGAAAGATATTGCTAGCAGCAAAGCTGGAAGGGCTGAGGCATCTAAGCCCTATGAAACTTAAGGCCCAGATACCAGACATTGAGCTACAAAATTTTATATTTCCTCTGCTGGGTTTCAGTCTTGATTTCCTCTAACATTTCCCTACTACTCCCCTAAACTTTCATTTTGGAAGGGTAATATATAGTATGTCCCATTTTATAAGATTTTATATATATATATATATATATTATTTTTTAAAATAGGAAATCATAGTTAAGAAATTGTCTAGAATCTCAGAAGAAGATTTGGACTTTTGAACAGTGCTAAAACTTAAAACTATGGGGACTTATATTTTTTTAATTTTATTTGTATATGTCTTGCACCACATTTGCAGTGATAAGAAGGAAGGTCAGAGCTGGGCAGTGGTGACACACATCTTTAATCTCAGCACTCAGGAGGCAGAGACAGCCTGGTCTACAAAAACTAGTTCCAGGACAGGTTCCAAAGTTGCACAGAGAAACCCAGTCTTGAAAAACAACAAACAAACAAAAAAAAGAGGGGAGGGTCAGAAAAACTAGAACTGGAGTTATAGGCAGTTGTTAGCCACCATGTGGGGGTGCTGGGAACCAAACCCAGGTCATTTGCAAGAGCAGCAAGAACTCTTAACTGCTGAGTCATTTCTCCAGCCACTGCTGTGGGAATGTTTAAAGTTGGACTAAATGCATTTTGCATTGTCAGATGGCCATGAGCTTATGGGGATCAGGGGCAGAAAGTATTAGTTGAAATGAGAACTTTCGCTCATGGGCTTACGTGTTTGAACACTTGGTCCCCATTTGGCGGTAATGTTTGAGGAAGTTGTGGAACCTTTAGGAGGTAGAGTCTTTCTAGAGAAAGTATATCACTGGGGACCAGCTTTGAGGGCTTATAGCTTCACCCATTTCCTGTTGTCTTTCTGTTTCCTATGTGTGGATGAAATGTGATCAGAAAGTTCCCTACTCCCTGATAAACTATCTCTTGAGAAACATAAGCCAAAATAAACTCTTTCTTAAGTTTCTTTTGGTATTGGTTTTCTATCAAGTGACACAATATTGTAACTTGCAGAATGAAATGACAACGCAAATATATGACAATACATACAACCTTAAAAGAAACGCTCAAATAATTCGAAATCCATAAAACCAGGGGAAAAATAAAACCAAACCTGACAGAAGTGTCTTAGGCTATTCTGGTTTCTTTAGACTGAGTAACCTATAAAGAGCAGAAAGAAAAAGTCTAGAATTGGGAAATTCAGAGGTAGAAAGTAGACTAAAGTTTGTCTGGGACTATGGGAGAGGGGTTTAAAGAATTATTGCATAATGAACATGAAAAACATGGGAAGCAGATGGTTGTGGTGGATAAACAGAATGAATATTATTAATAACATCAAATTGGTCACTTAAAGTTGTTACAATGGAATAATGTATATTGTGTATGTTTTATCACAATATATTACAAAATGAGAGGTAAAAACGACTGGGAGTTTTACCTGAAGCATGATACAACTGAAAACAGTATGATTAAAGTGTATGCCAGGTGGAACAGAGGGATCACAGTCTTGGAGGTTGCCTCAAACTCCAGCTGTCTTGAAAGGGATGTAAAGTAGACAACCTGTAAGAACAAACAAACAAACAAAAAAAACATACTCAGGAGATAAATCCCGATTCCAGAGTCCATTAAACATTGCAAACACTACTGGACACTTGATATTTGTTGCTAGGCACACTGTAAAAAGTGAATGGTTCACTTCACATAAAATCTGCAGTGTGTTTTTCAACCTTTCCCTGAAAATGAAAAGTTTAATAATTTATCTGCATTTTGACTAAGATGGGGGGGCAGGAACTAACCCTAAATCTAAACAAAATGAAACTGAATTTTATAAACAAATGTGAAACCTCATCCTCACTGACAACTGTGGAAATTGTGGCATTTTATAAATCTTATTAGATTGGTATTTTTCATATTTTAGTTGCCTCAGTAACACTTGAAGAAACACTTGGCTTCCCAGTAGGCATTTGCTTTCACTAGGGTTATATATTGGAATTGCTGGCCCAGAATTTTAACAGATAACATATACTTCAATACTAAACTAGGTGCCTTATCTATAACTAACTTGAAAAGGACTAAATTAAGGACTAAACTAGTTATCTATCTTCTTAAACAACATGACAGAACTTGGAAGTTTTGTCTTTAATTCCATTGGGTAAGGCTTTAGGGACTCTAGTAACAAGAGTGGGCTCAATGGACGAAATAATTTTCAAGTGTCTTAGTTAGAAAACCAAACTCTACACCAAGTGTGAAAATCAGTTCTGTACTAAAACAGGCTTACTGATACAATATTTGTGTACAGACCAAAATGATACCAATGCTTTATGATCTTGGCATCATCCATCAATATTACAATGGGATTTCATATCATGTATAGGAGAGCATACCCAGCTTTAATTCAAAGGTCATCTTGTCTCCAAATCTCCCACCCTTATTGGCCTCCCTTGCAAACCCTAACCTCCAGAATACCTCTGTCTCTTCCAAAGTCAGAGTGCTCTTCACGTCGTTAAAATGGTCTAGAAAGTGAGTCAGCCATGCTTTGCTACGCTCACTGTCCTCGGGGTCCTCAGTCTTGAGGTAGTACAGCAGCCTAATTGCTCGGGACTCCACAAGTCGCTGACTTTTTCCCATCGCTTGGCCCAAGACATTTCCCCCAAAGAAGCTCGCCAAGTAGATGAAGTGGTTGGACATGTTATGTAAGGGGAACATGATGTTTGACAGGTTCAATGTCGAGTGATGCTGCCAGGCATATAATAGAGGATTGGGTGGCACGCACAGCGTCTTGTACTTGGCGCACACCTCTTTGTACAGGATCTGTGTTCCGTTTTCCTGTACCACCTTCAGCGCCTGCACCGCTTGGTCCAACTTGCTCACCTCTGTAAATATTCTCGGCTCCAGGAGCGATCTGGTGAGAGTCACCACCAGGATGGAAGCGAAGTTGGCCTCTGAGCTGGTCCTGGAGGCGGAGAAGCGGTATGTGTCATTGGTACTAAAGTGACCCTGCACGAAGCGCCGCTCAGCCTTGGCAGGGCTGCCAATCGGTGTGTACTGTTCCTCCAGGTTCTCCTTCTCCTTGGGCAAGAAGATGAGGCCTGTGCCCAGCGCGGCCGTCAGCAGCACAGGCCCAAGCAAAAACAGCCAGGGGTGCGTACCCACCGTGGCACCAAGGCGCTGGAAGCAGCGCGATAGGGGTGCTTCTAAGCAGTTGGTACGGCAGCGACGTGGCAGAGGTGCCTCCTGACCCAGGGGTGGCAGGCGCTCCGATGGCGGCCCTGCGGTCCAGCTAGGGCTCGCCTCGCCAGGTGGCTCTGCCTCCAGCCGACCTTCAGACAGCATCTCCCGTTGACTTCCCTCTCTGGGAGCAACCTTGGAGGAGATCATGTCATACGCAGCTGTTCACAGGAACAGCTGCCAAGTTGCTTGCACCCCAACGGTCTAAGACCCAGGGACCGTTGGCTGCTCGGGTGCCCGGATGCTGGTGGCAACGGTTGGGAGCACGTGGCTGAGGTGACCTTCCAGGGTTAGGGTTAGTGCCATTCTCCTTGTCACAGAGCGTCTCCTCGAGCCAGAGCCCTATGGAGCACCTCTCCACCCCAGTATTTACCAAATTCCTCACTGGGAGCATAAGCTTACCCTCTCCAGCTTTGTCTCCCAGTGGCAGGGACAACTTCACACTTTTGTCATGGCTTAGTCTCTTCCCCCTACTAGATTGTCAAATCTCTGAGATTGATGCCTATTGTATCTAGGTTTGTTTACAAACGTAAATGCCAACCAGAGGAACATTATGTATTTCTTAGAGGAAAGACTGTTTATACTAATTACAAAGTTACCTATCAGTCTGAGGTTTACAGTGTTCAATTTAAATGAAAACTGACTGAGACAGCTAGATTTGAGAATCATTATAAATTAACACCCAAAGAAGAAAGTGTAGCACATAGATTGTTGCTTCCAGTTTATTTCCTTTATATGCAAGTAAAAAGCCTGCAACCAGACAACATTGGAGACTGGTTAAGAACATCGAACAAAGTTTCTCCTAAATTTGTCGTATCTTTGTGTGCTTTGCAGTGTCAATGAAACAGTATCAGTTGTTTTCACCACAGCAGGAGATAGATTCTTTGTTGGTTTGCTGAGTTATTGTGCCCATCCTGGAACTGTGGTATGCAATTGTGTAAATTTCTAAATGTTTATTCACCCCAAAGAAGGAAGGGCCTAACAGATTAAAGAAAGATTCTGCCCCTCTTTCCCCCAACCCCACCCACTGCCCACCACTTTTAAAACAAATCAGTGACTATTAGGATTACTTACAGGGGCAGGGGCAACCTAGAGACAGATGTACCACCAAAAAGACCCATCCTCAGTCAACATTTTAGTTCTTACAGTCAGCCCTTGCCTACCTAAAGCTGGGAAAGGATGGAATGGGGGTTGAAATGTCAGGGAAGAGTCAGGGGCAGTCTGTGAACTTCCCTCAAATAGATCCTGCTAACAACCCAATTACTACAGGTCTAGCTATCTGTTGTATATTTCTGTTGATTTTATTGTTGTAACTGCAGGCTAAGTTCTCCTGTAGTTCATCATAACTATCCTGACACATGGTGGCTGTGTGTATATTAAGAGGAGTGCTTAAACTGGTCAGTTTATGGTTGGTCAAAAATTATAACTGAAACCAGATGCAGTGATCTGCACCAATAGCCCTAACTATTCAGGAGGTTGAGACAGAAAGATTCAAGGTCAGTCTGGGCAACATGACTGGACCTTGTCTCAGAATAAAATATTGAAGCTGAGGAATGGGCTGTAGCTCAGTGTTAAAGTGTTTGTCTAGCATGTAAAAGATCCTGGACCTCTCTCTCTCTCTCTCTCTCTCTCTCTCTCTCTCTCTCTCTCTCTCTCTCTCTCTCTCTCTCTCTACACACACACACACACACAAATGCACCAGGACTAACTATTAATCTGTCCTGTCGTGCTTAGTGATAGAATGAAAGTAATGTTCAGGGAAATACACCTAACAATTACATCCAAAGTAAATAAGTACAAAAGGTAAAATGAAGCCAGGCGGTGGTGGCTCACACCTTTATTCCCAGCACTCAGGAGGCAGAGGCAGTCAGATCTCTGTGAGTTTGAGACCAGCCTGGTCTACAAGAGCTATTTCCAGGACAGCCTCCAAAGCCACAGAAAAACCCTGTCTTGAAAAACAAACAAAAAAAGTAAAATGAATAAATTTAATAAGTACAACAGTTCAGACATTGGACAATTTAGCTTCAATTAGGGTAGAAATTGAAAAGAGAGTGCTAGAACTTTTTGTCATTTTGTTTTATTTTTAAAAGACCTCTTTTTTAAAGGCAAAAAATTAGTCTACAGCAAGACCAGAAGATAAAACTTTCCTGAACGAGATTCAAGTTGAATTCCTAGTGTCATAGAAAAGAAATATGGAGAATAAGCAAGGGATGGGCCAGGTGGAGAAGATGCCATGTGGCTACTTATAGGAACACAAATGAGTTAATTACAGGAGTATGACTGGTGGTGGGTACTTACAGAAGCATGGGAAACTCTAGGGTAAGTATTTCACCAGCAATTACAGTACAGCACACATGACAACTGGGATGAAAGCTGCATCCCTGAAGCTACATGAACAACTTGGAAACAGTTTAGGTAATCAGAGCCTCCTATGCCTAGCAGCATCAGTATATACATAAAACTTTGTGGAGGTGGAAGGTCTTGTGAATTTCTTTAACTTCAAAATTTCATGGACCTTGTTTTACTTACTTACTGAGGCTTTCCACAATGAGGATGCTTTGCAGGATTGCTGGGTAAAATTGCTTACCCCAACTCCATAGACCCCAGACAGGGAAGATTTAGTATCACATACCCGAGGGGCTGGGTCTCTCTAAGATATTTTAGAGTTAGAAATAGTTGTACAACTGTGATTGACATGTGAAGCAAGCTTGTTTCTAATTTAAATTAAAAATAAGGAAAAAAGAAACAGTTGTACAAAAAATTTTCAGGAAACTAGAGATAGCAGTAATATTTTAGACCAAGACCTAGCTGTAGCCTGAAAGATCACACCACAAATCTATTTTAATGGATAAGGAACCAGCCAGGAAAAAGAATTCTGAGATAAGAGGCAAATTTCCAAAAGCCCAAACCTAAGCAAAATGTCCACCCTAGGCCCCTACAGAAAGATGAGAAGCCAATGTTTGATCTGTTCTTCCTCTAGTTTCTTTTTTTTTTTTTTTTTTTTTTTGGTTTTTCTAGACAGGGTTTCTCTGTGGCTTTGGAGGCTGTCCTGGAACTCACTTTGTAGACCAGGCTGGCCTCAAACTCACAGAGATCCACCAGCCTCTGCCTCCCAAGTGCTGGGATTAAAGGCGTGCGCCACCAACGCCTGGCTCCTTCCTCTAGTTCCTTAATTTCTACCTTGTATTCTTTCACATTTTTAAAAATTTCTCCACTTTGTTCTGTGGAATTACAAAGTTTGGCTTTGAATGCTAGTTAACAGTGGTCAGCAGAAGCTAATTCTTTTTCATAAAAACTGTAGAAAGTTGCCATTGTCCTGGATCCAAAAATGTTCTTTGAAGATGTAATTTTCAAAACTTTATTTCTCACCTCAGGTAGCCTTTGCTGGTGTGACACAGCTACCCATAGTATTTTCCAAAATTTCAAAAGCGGAGCTAGCAAGATAGCTGGTGGTAAGGCAGCAGATTTGAGTAGTCAATAATGGAGAAAGAGAAGGTCAAATGGCTAGAACTGCACTTTCTTGGCAAAAGTCAGCCCTCTATTTTCAATGGAGCTCAGATCCCAGGTTGCTAGCTATGAACAGTGTGGCCTATTTAGTCTGCTTTCTGTGTAGCCTTTCAGCTGATTGTGCTTTGTAGGATTGCATTTGGTAGCCCCTTCTCTGATGGTTTTTGACAATGAAATAAGTGAGAGGCTGGGAATGAGGGCTTGTTTATACAAGCTTGAGGATCTCAGTTGGTGTTCCAAAACCCATAATTTGTTTGGTTTTGTTTTAAAAGGGTGGGGGTGGCAGAAAGGGCTTTTATAATCCAAGTGTTGAACCAGTGCATGATTCCAGAAGAATGACATCCACGGTTAGCCTTTGTCTTAGTTAGGGTTTCTATTGCTGTGAAAAGACACCATGATGATAGCAACTTCTTTTTCTTTTCTTTTCTTTTTTCCCTGAGATAGGGTTTCTCTGTGTAGCCCTACCTGTCATGGAACTCTGTAGAACAGGCTGGCCTTGAACTCACAGAGATCTACCTGCCTCTGCCTCCCAAGTGCTCAAAGCCATGTGCCACCACTGCCCAGCCACGGCAAATCTTATAAAGGACAACATTTAATTCACTCCTGGGACTTAACAAACAAAGTTTCTGACCTCATAATATGATTTTTGAATTTTCTGGAAAGTAGATTATTTGTCTAGGATCATTGGAATACCTTTAGAGTGTCTTCACAAAGTGTGTCTGTTTTTCTGAAAGGAAAATCTTTCTCACATTAGCAAAAATGGTCACTAATATGTGGCTGAAGGAAATTATAGCTTGGGTCAGTTCCTCTGCACAAGCACATGGTGTCAGCAGAGTAAAGAGCAAGGCTGGGCTCTGCTCTGACTCACAACTACCAATGTAACTACAAGTTAATTTTTCCTTTTGCTTGGTTTGGATTGTATCTCCAGCTGTGTGCTTTGTTGGGGAAAGATTTGACCATTCTTGGCAGCTGTATTTGGTGCTATGAGAGAGGCAACTAGACATAATCTACAAAGCATGGCTGCTGGCTGGGAGATTCATAGTGAGCTACCAAACATCCTCAAGCAGTTTGTTAACTGGAACTGTAATCCCCAAGAAGCAAGAGATCCTGGGCAGTAAACAATTGATCCAGGAACCATACCCTATCCCTGGCTGCACCTGCTCTTTCCCTCACCCTGCACCAAGCTCACAGCATGGGGGGGGGGTACGGGGGTGGGGGACAAGCTCTAGGGCACAGTGGAGCAGGAGCTCCAAAAGCACATATTGCAAAGTGATGATGTGCCTGGCTGTGCTGGGATCTAATGGAACTGTTGGTAATAAATAAGACCCTGTCACACTTGGAATCTAGAGCATAACAGAGAGAAGGATACAGACATGCCTGTCCCCACTAAGCTCCTGCCGTCAGAGCATGTTTCAGGGAAACAAGAGGGAGGAGGTCACGGAGACAGCTGGAGGAAAAGAGATATGTTCTCTTAGTGAAGTATGGGATGGTACACTTTGATGCTGCCTGATTGTTGTCTCCCCTTAGCACATATGACTGGAGATAGAGACACTACCAACACTAACACTTAAGAAAGGGGTACAGTACTGAAATTCTTACTGAGACTGAGTCTAAAGTTTGACTCTTGCTTCTCCAAGGTCCTTTGTAAAAGCTAACCCAACATCCTCTGAGACAGGCTGTATTGATGGTGTTACCAGAAGATAAAAGGTGGACGGAAGGGCAGAAAACAGGGTCTTTGAGAGGTCTGGTGGTGCTTCACATGTCAAGATCTAGTTCTTGCAGACAGCAAAGCAGGAATGGGCCTGGGAGAGGTATCTGCCCAGATAATATGATCTCAAGACAGGTCCCTCAACTGGAATATGGGCATCAATATCCTACTGGAATTTTAGCCACTCCTACTTACTGAACCCCTGCTGTATGTTCATGACCATTCTACTTAAGGAAGTTGGAAAATAGAATGTGATCTTTTTTTCTTAGGTGCCTTCATTTTGCTAGGCTGGGTTTGCATGAACCTGTAGGAAGAGCTTTCTAGTGGGTGAGCAAAATGGTCAGGTCTAAAACAGAGGTTCATTATTGAGGGGTGCTGAAGGACAAGATGTCAAGAGGTCAGCAGGAGCCCCCCCAGTAAAGGCTTTCTTATGTGATGAGGACTATGGGTTTCTTTAAAAATGAAATGAAGGTTGATGTCTATAACCATCCGGGAGCCTTCATCCTGTGACTGATGGAAGCAGAGGCAAACACACAATTAATCACTGAACTGAACCCAAGGAACCCAGTGACAGAGAGAGAGGAGTGATGAGCAAATTGGCAAAGAATGGGCTGGCAAAACCAGCAGAGACAGCTGATCTGAACAGGGGAGAGCTCTTGGACCCCAGACCGACAGTGGGGAGGCCAGCATGGGACTGATCTGGACCCCCCAAATGTGAGTGTCAGTGAGAAGGCCTGGGCAACCTATGGGGCCCTGAGCTGTG